ATAACAATGCTAAATTCCATGGAGGTATGGCTATGAGATTCATTACATATTACTAAAAACAGTAACACTGAAAAAACTTCAAATCTGTCAGTGAAAGACGATCACATGGCAGCTCTGGATTGTGTTTGGATTTACTTTGCTATCAGCAGTGTGACATTGGCATAAAAACCCAACAGTTGAAGATAAGAATGATCTTATCTGCCTTTCAGAACCACTGTGAGGACATGAGCTGCAGGAAGCAAGCAATTCTGCATTACAGTGGTATCAAAAAGATCTCCTCTGGCAAGTGTGTTCCTGTAAGGCTTCCAGATACTCTGTGGTTCTGCAAACTTGGCTCGTCAAGAATCTCAGGCAGTTGTTTTAATGATACTGTACTATGAAATCATTCAGATAAAATCAGGCAGCCAGGGAGTGTGAGGTAGAAGCCTGATCTTCCTTCCTGGCATTTGTATCTTCTTTTCTCAGGAAAACGAACTCTTCAATGGGACTGATTAAAAAGAGTACTTTCAGAACTCTGGTTTACTAAGTTATGCTTGTAGTTTATGGCTCCTGAAGGTAGACTTTGAGTTCTAAATTCTATAAGATAAGTGAATCACACACTACGGGTTAATGTCAAAGGTGTGGAGTCCTGAAATAAAAATAAAAAATGGTTCATTAGATTGCAGATTGACTTCAGGGCTGAAAACAAAGACCACCCATAAATAGAATGTTCATCTAAAAACAAGGCTGCTTGGAATAAATCTTTCTTATTTATCTATTTTTTAAAAGTGAAGACTTGCATTTTTAACTCCATGCTATTGTACCACTCTTACTATGTACCTTTCTGTTTTAATACAGGGACTGGATCAACAGAGTGTAGACCCAAATGCGGTTAATGCTTGAAATTCAAAATTTTAGATGCTTACCTCTACAGTTGATGTCCCTATGCGCCTGAGGAGGTGCTCTAAGTGGTTGGTGCTTGGGCTTCTGCAGACAAACTGCTCTTTCTTCATACACAGTAATTTGTCTGGCACACAAGGCCCACGTTACATCAGTGGTTTTCCTGTTGATATTTATGCAGTTGCAGTCTATATGTAAAAGGTTTCCTAGTCCTGTACAGAATAGATACTCTCTAGGAACTGGCGTGTTGGACAGTTGTTTCCTCATCAGAGCCTTAAGCTGCAGAGTTGCTTAAACTTATCACCACGTGCAGCTCTGAGCCAGGTTTGTACTTTGCTGCATGAAAGAATAAAGTCTCCTTGTTATTGCTTAATTCTTCATACTCCAGGGAAGGTGGTCAAGAAGGCTAATGGGTTGATCGGGAACTACAGAAAAATGAGCTATTCAAGTGAGGCAGGTTTAGGAGCCATGGAGAGGCAGTGGTGGTATATGTTTATGAGGGATGAGCAGGGAGCAGAACATGTGCATGTTAATGTTTGTTATCTGCACAGGACAGCTTCGCTGATATCAATTGGAAAATACTTGTAATGTGTGCATAATTGGTATATGGAGGAAATTGGGCACTTAAATGCATGACTAAGCTGGGACTTTGAGACACAGATAGCCGATGTAACTTTCATGGATGGTAGTATACCCTTCCTGCAGTGTCCTACAAAGATGTTTCTGGGAAGTATGGAGCCACCTAGAGAGCTAGTTTTGGTTTCAGCAATTGCAGACTGATGTCACATACATGTTTGGAAGGCAAGACAGCGCTCTTTTCATTTTTTTTTCCCTTCTCTTTTTTTCCCAATGAATGTGAGGTTGCAGGTGTTCTAAATGCTGAGGCCTGCTGCACGCCACACTACCTCCATGGAACGTGAAACAAAACTTGAGTTACTACAAAATAGTAAAAGGGTATTTGCCTTCACTCCACTGTGCTGCTAAAAATTTAGGGAAATTATCTAGATCCACCTGAGATTCAGCTTCCAGGTGTTAGGGGAGTGTGGACAGGCTGGAGCTGGAAGGTCATGAATTCCTTTCCTTGTGCCTGAGGAGGTTTGAGGAATGTTCTCCTGGATTACCTGCAGGCTGAGATGCTAGGGGGTCACCATGGTTACACCAGATTTCCATTGAGACCTTTTCTCCTGATGCTAAGTAGAGAAAGGAAACATGAAAGAAAATAGTGAAAGCACTTTGAGTAGGCAGGGACTTTACTCATGTGTGTTCTTGTGGCAAAAAAGCTCCCAGCTTGATACTGAACTAGGAGTGCTGTCTTCACCTGAGAACTTTTAGATGAGCAACTCACATTATAGTAAAACCTGTGCCCTTTCAGGGAGAGTGGGGTGTACAAGGGCACCCATGGCATGGGATGCTGTGGCCTCTGCATCGCCTAAACCCAGCTCTCACTGGATTATCAAGCATTGCAGTCTGGCTGTTGAACACCTTGTGGTTC